AGAAGAAATACCACCAGAATAACAAAGGTATGAGTACTACTCCAATTTAAAAAAAAAAAAAAAAACAGAATAAATATCAATAATTTATTTATAGTAAAGATTTTTGCTAATTTACCTTTGCACCAGGCAGAGCTAGGTTGTTTTTCAGAGTGAGGGACAGCTCAATTTTACCACTGAGGCTTCCGACCTGCACAGTCTCAAAGGGGGTCATGGAGGACAGCGGCTCTGTAAACTGTGGATGGGGCTCACATATAATTTTGGGATTCCAGCTGGGGGAGAGCTTTGGCTCGGTTTCCTGTAAAATAAGAAAATTCTGTGTTAAAAACAAAAAGAAAAAGTGGTGCTGAGCCATAACGTTCTGGGAGCTGAAATACTGGAGGCACCAACCGGAGGGGTGGGTGAGGATCTGCAATCGCGAGACACGACTGAGAACTCGTCCCAGAATACAGTGATTCCTTCCATCTGCATGTTTTTATGGGCGAATGTGGTTGGCTGATGCACATTTACACTTGGACTCTCTTCCCCGGTTTCATCGCAGTACACAATCCTGCACAAATGTACAAAATGAAGTTACACGACTATATTCATTTTCCTTGAACAATCCCCAAGCTGGGTTATTCTGAATTTTACATGATAGATTTTTGAACCCAGATAAGTACAGAAAAATGGTGGAATAAGATTTTAAAAATATTCACGAGTAAAAATGACTCAAACTCCAAACAGAAATCCAATCCAGAACCAGTGACTTGATGATCATTGCAAGACTTTGTGGCAAAGAATAGGCAAAAAAGTTACATGCAAAATACTTTTTACAAAGAATGACGTTTGGTGGTGAATACAACTGCATTTTTGCACTTTTCTTCATACAAACTTTTGTAGACCATGTATGATTTTTCTTACTTACTTCCTGATTCGAAGTTCAAGTGCAATTCCAGTTTTAGAATTTTCTGGAATGTGTTCGACTCGGAGAACGGTATCCAAAAATGTCACTTTGACTCGTCTCAAAACTGCATCACAATAGAAAACAAAAATTATGTGGCCGTTTTTGTATTTTTCACTAAACTTGTTGATAAAGAGTGGAGATATAACATACCTGTTTCTATTGTCTCTGCAAACTTCTCCAATCCTTCAAAAGGCTGAAAGCTTTCTCCCATATCGTCGGTGAGTTTTTGGCTCAGGCATTCCTTGGCGAGCTGCATGCTGCTTGTCATGAAACTGGACCAGTACATGGGCTCAGTGCCAGAAGCTGGAGGAACAACAATATTTTCACGTTTAAATATGTTTGCTTAACATAAGCCTCTTCCTATTTCAGGCATATGGTAAAGATAGACAAAAATTAGCATCTCTTCACCCGCTCTCGGTCTTGGTCTTAGCACCATCTCCAAACCCTTGACCTCCAGGGCACAGTTTTCCTGTAGCAGCGCTGCCCATGGAACGGTCAGAGATATCGTCTGGATGAACCCTGCAATTACCTCAAAGGGAGCATCTGCCGTCTCCAGGAGCTCATTGAGGGACTACAGGACAAGACGGCAAGCATTTTTAATTCCAATAGAAGACATGCTGGCAGAAATCAATTTCCAGTTTTCTTTGCTAATTCCACTTTTTTTTCTAATTACTATAACACATTAAAGAGACGATTTGCTGCACATAATATAGATATCAATATTAATTCCAAATAAAAATGGAGAAATTATGATTATTCCCATTTTTACCACAGTTTTATTAACCATAGAAAGCTGTATCAGGGACCATTCTTTTGACTGATGCATTTATAGATCAAAAAAGTATCTGTTTATAGTTTTGACTCATTTTGGTATAGAAGAAATCATATATATCTCACTTTCTGCCCTGCCAATAACCAATCAAAGCCACTTAAGAGACATCTGATTTTGATCTCAACCTGACTCATTTGTGCATCTTATTTAATATTTGTTTTTATCAAATAGCCCAAGAACCAAAGAAGAAATAAAATAAAGGCATTACTGTAAAATGATTGCAATTCCAGTTATTTTGCCCTCAGGACACAAACCCTCATATTCAGCAACAAACTAAACATTTTGGTGATTAAAAAAAGATTTAATATGTTTTTAATCCTATTTATAAAAACTGCTTATGTTTCATATGAGCAATATTTATTGTAGATTAGTGAAAAATAATACAACTGTTCTGAGATTTACTTTTAAGTCATTTGGAAAAAGTGGCGTGGCACGTTTGAACAGATTTACCTCAGCTACTTTGTATGTGAACATTGCATCTCACAGTCAGTATGAACTCACTACACAACGTAACACTTGGGTTCCACAATTTAACAAAATAAATGCTCTTAAAATTGTAAATGTAACACAACACATACCCATTTATCCAATGGTACTTGTGCAAGGGACCCAGTGCCTTGATAAAGATCAAGGCTGAGCTGATCCAAGCTTAGTTTCTCCTGCAGAAAATTCCCCAGGTACCGATGAAGGAGGTACCTGCAGGCCCGCTTTTTGATGGACTCTGAAAATGGCCAGGGCATCTTAACTTGTTGGTTGAACAGTGCGGTGGTAACAAAAGTGGCTGTGAGACTGTGGAGCTGCTAAGTTGAGGTTATTCAGACAGCTGTGTAGGAATCAATTATGTTACAGTTGTGTCATCCTTTTGACTGTAAGGTACTGAACAAATGTGAGCTCCAACATCCTTCACATCCCAAGATCTGGGACACGTCGGAGGATGTGTTGACACTCAGAGATCTATGTGGGAATTGATCCGACTCCAGTTTGCTGCACCTACAGAAAGGATACACAGAAGACCCCCCTTCCATTTGTAATTGGAAACCAAAACATGTGACTTGACACAAATTAAAAAAACAATAATAATAAGAAGAAGTTTTGGCTGTTTATACTTTGTACATTTATTAAACTGCTCCCAATCGTAAGTGAAATGACATTTCTAAATAAGCGTAAAGTATTTTAACGTTGTGAGTATAAGTATTCTCCTTTCTCAAACTCATATCTGCTTACGAAATAGCCGTGAGCGTCACAGAAATAAAAATAAAAATCTCTGTCGGGCCTTAGCTCTGTACACAAAAACACAGCTGTCATTGACCGACCGGACATGTGCTTTGACAACCGGTTAGACAAAGGCAAGTCATTAAGCTAGCTGATGTTTAGCAGCCTATTAGCATAGTGGATATACTGAAACTGAAGCATTCACAGCCTTCATAGCCGGCCGGTTGCTAACGTCAAGCTAAGATTGTAGCATTGAGCTAGTTAGCAAGCTAGCTAAAATAAAACCAAACATTTCTTCTTTTATCAAGACTTTAACGTTACATTCATAATTACATATATACACAATACAAGCATTTCAATTACACATGCTAAAAGTTAAGCATTTAATAAGCTAATAATAATTACATTAAAGCAGCACGTAAGTTACCTGATTGAGTTGTTTACAAACACTTTCATGACTTCGCACCAATGGACAATGCTGCATTCGAAACCCCTCGGAAATAAAATATTCCAACTCAAAGAATGATGGTTTCATACTATAGAGTGAATGAAAGGATTGTATTGTCCATAAATTCTGGGTTAAGAACTGCTCTTTGTTGATTGATTGGTTTAAAAATGTATTATCATAATTTTTCACTCAATTTATGCATTCTCAATTGTCAACTGCTTGTGAATGCAGCATAATCACGATCACACTCAGGGGTGGGATTAGTTCGTGATGTCATAAAGTGGGAAGACCGTTATGCTCGTGGTACATCTTTTTATTGATCCAGATACCTATCAAGCTTTTGTGTGGCCAACAATTTTTAGTAGAATAATAAAATAGCTAAGAGAGATTCTATCCTCTCTTTCGGTTGCTATAAATCTTATTTTAATCAAGGCTAGAAGAAACTGGTCGGAGTGATCCATCCCCACACAGAGCAGCTCAGAGAGGAGGCTGGAAGCTTCTACGAGCCGGAAGAAGACAACCAACGAGGAGGTGAGAAAAATAAACGCAGTTAAAACCTCGTTAAAATGGATTTAACATTTTTAAACCATACCTCAACTCTTTATTTCTCCTTAAATTATACGCATATTCATGTTTAATATCTTCACAGTGTTACCAAAATACAATATAGGTGTTCAGTTGTTGTTCTCCCGTTAGTAGCAAATTTAGCTTAACTTTGAATTCGGAAATAGCCTTATAGATATACATACCTACATCCCTTTAAGAAAAATAAAATATATAAAACATGTTTCAGTTTATTGAAGCTCATGTTGAAATATTCGTCTCATTCTTAGATGTCCACAAGATGTCGCTATTTTAGTTTTGAACGTTTATACGAAAGTGCAAGTTATATGCTGAAATCGAGTAAAATAGATTGTATTTAGTTTTCTATCATTTTGTTTCCCATTAAAAACTTAACACTCAATAATAAACTTGTGTATATGTTTACATATTTATATTTGGCAATAGATTTTTGTAAGCTGCAATCTAGATTACTCTGCATATATTTTTAAATTAAAAGGATACATTTGCTGTTGCTGTATCAGTTTTTATCTTGTGGGTTTGAGTAAGCAGCTGAATCACTGGTTCTTTTGTGGGATGACAGCACATTTACTGGCACACCTTAAAAAAAATCCTCCTTCTAAGATAAATTGAAATTGTACCAATTTCAAATGAAAAACATAAATATAAACAGACTGAGATTAAAAGACACATTAGAATTGCTCATACTGGATTTTATTTAGGGGTATCAAATTAAAATGGAGTGAATCCCAATGCATTGCACAATATTCAGATTTTTATTTGCATAACATTATTTTAAACTATGTATCATTTCAAGTATGGACTACTTTTAATAGGTCTGTCACATAAAATCCATTGAACGCATAACCTTTGTGACGATATGTAACGAAGGCCTGGGTTTGAATGGTTTGTAAGTTCCTGGATGTTTAAATCATAATATATCAGTCAGTCCTGCTATTAATCAGTAACAAAGAGGTTTTGACAAAATTCTTGTGTAAAACCAAAACCAGTGAAACTAACAGAAAAGCACAAAACAGTATCAGTAATTCATTTTCACATGATCCTCTGCTTATTTCCCCTCGCATAGAAAGGCTGATTCTCTGTTTAATATAGAAGTGATAGGCTCAGTGGAGGCTGTCCAGTGTCACTTCCATCGCAGACACAAAGCCAACTGAGAAAATGATGACGAAGCCACATGTGAAGCAGTTTGCAAATGCTGACACACAGAAATGCCGAGTTGAACTGCACACTTGCATAAAGAGACCAAGGCACGTTTCAACTTGTTCAAGAAATGCAGAAAACTGTCGAAATACAACCGGTGTTACCTTAATTAGTGGTTATTACAAATATATCCTTGGGAAATACAAAGATTAGCAGTGATGAACTTCGTAGACTTGATGCTTGGAGAAAGATGAGGGAATTATTTAGTTTTATTTCTTGGGAAGATTTTGGAACAGAAAAGAAAACCAATCGTGTTTCCATTAAAACTGGTTTTATTTATTTGACTAGACACCTGATGCCCACATGTGTATTTTAAAAATGGAGCTTGGTGAACAGTCAGATGTCACATGTCTGTTTTTCACTTCTGTTTTTGGCAAACATGACACACAGTCAGATAATGATATAAGAAAAAAGAGCTGCTTCACTGCACAAAATTGTGTTTTCCATCAATCAGGCTGTTCTATTAGTTTACTTTATTGCTATAGAAACCAGTGACTTCTTTGTATTGCTTTCCATAACAATAAAGAACACCACAAACCCAATTTCATCTTCAGAGTCTTAAGTTCAAAGCTGCAGCGATGCCTGTAAACTCTGCTGCTCTGTGTTGCAGGAGATGGAGGTAGACTGTCCCCCGGAGGAGTCCATATCATCCGCCTTTGATGAAGACTCAGTTGAACTCGGAGACGTCAAGGACATGAGGTTGGAGGCGGACGCAATCGTCAACGACGTTCTCTTCGCCGTAACAGAAATGCACGTCTCGCAGAGCCTCACCAGCGCGTTGGACGTGGCTTACATCAACGTGGAGACGAGAGAGGGGAACCGCTACTGTCTGGAGCTGACCGAGGCCGGACTCAGGGTAGGAGACGCTGGGGATGGAGAGGTTTTGAAGTTTTTTTTTTTGTTTTGTTTTTGTTTTTGAAAGAACTAATTCATCTTCTACTTGAACAGGTGGTGGGGTATGCTTTTGATGAGGTGAATGAGGAGCTGAACACCCAGTACCACGAGACCGTTTACTCCCTTCTGGACACGCTCAGTCCGGGATACAGAGAAGCGTTTGGAAACGCTCTGCTGCAGCGGCTGGAAAAGCTGAAGCAAAACGGACAATAAAAATCACAACAAGCATCTGGGTCATACTTAAAATACTAAACAATAACACCCAAGTTTTTACTTTGGCTTGTTATGTAATGTCTAGTTGCCTTTTTACTGCAGTAAAGGCTACAGAGCCCTATCAACCTAGTTTTGCTCTAACTTTCTTAATGTTGAAGGAGTTTATGTTTAGGGACTGCTTCAGATTGGCTGTCTGGGATCTGTTGCATCAGTTTGCTGTTTACTTTAATGTGGAAACATCCTACTTCTTCCACATGTTATGACGTAGTGACTAAGTGATAAAGACTGCTCTTTTTTTATTCATCAAAAAGATGCAAAAAGAAGCAGTTGTTTATTTTGATCCAGCTTCTCCATCTGCCCAGCTGCTCCTAACAAAGCTGTGACGTTTCTAATATTTCCCAACCAGTTTTTATTAAACCTGTTTTTTGCAAAGGAGTTATTTTAAAGCAAATTGCCTTAATGAGTTTTTAGAAGAAAACAACTAAATTTAGTTTAATATTTTCTGAGGTTAATTTCAATTAAACTCATTTAATATCTCTCAGTCCCACTAATCTAGTTCATATGTTAGATATTTTTACAATTTTTTATGGTTACACATTAGCTTGCATTTTAAGCTGTACAAAAGCTCTCTCGTTATTGTTGCTTTTGTATTGGATCTCTTGGTTCCGCCAGAAAGCACAGCATTTATTGATCTCCAGGAAGGACTTTTAAAGCTGCTTTAAACATTTTTTACTGTACATGTAACCTGTGTCATAACCAAGTCATAATCCTTCAGTGTTATGCATTGAGCTGAGAAAAGAACCTGTTTCCTCTCTACATTTGTACATTCCCTTCGTTGTTACTGCCCTTTGCTAACAATAAAATCTCAGTGCGTCTTGTACCTTTGATAAAAACATTCCTGTAGAAAGAGGTTGAAGGTGAAAATTTGCATCCCGGCTTCAACACACCTGAGTCAAATAATCAGGTCATTAGGATTCTGGAGAACTTGACTGCATACGAAGGATGTAATTTAGACATTTGATTCAGGTTTGTTGGATCAGAGACACTGGCTGTTGATTTGAAGAGTAAATAAATTCTGATTATTTTCACAAGTTCTTAAAGTTAAAAACTTGATTCATAAGACATTCAAATTATACACAATTTCAGCAATTCAGTTAAACTTTTATGTATCACAGTAACATATTTGAAGCTTTTATTTCTGTTAATATCACAGATTGTGGCTTACAGTTAATCAAAACCCAGATTTCAAGAAACCAAACTAAGTGCAACATCAGTAGTTAATTCTCATGTGATCCTACAAGAATGGTGTGTGTGGGTTTTTTTTTTTATGCGGTGGTTATAATTTTCACACATCTCCCATCCCAAAAAAAGCTGATTTGCACCATTTCAATATGAAAGTGATGGGTTCAGTGGAGGCTATCCAGTTTCACAGCGATTGCAGGAATCAAGCCAACTGTATCCTTGGGAAATATACAGATTGGCAGTGATGTGGCGATTAGCCTCATTGTTTGGGGGGAAAATGAAACTTTTATGCAGATTTTGGAATAGAGAAAAAAAAGTCACTTCCTCTAAAACCGTTTTCTTTTTGGCTGCAAACCTGATGCTGACATTTAAAGTCTTTGAATTTTTAAAAAAGAAGCCACTGACCAGATGTCTGACTCACTTCTGTTGTATGCAAACATGACACCATGTCACATGATGCAAGGAAGAGCTGATTCACTGCACAAAACTCTTTTCTATGGATCAGACTGTTAGTTTGCTACAAAAACAAACCAATTCCTATTATGATTTGATTGAACCCATTTCAATGTTCCAAAAACCCAGATAAATGAGAATTCAGTTTCTGTTTTTAAATCAAGTTCTACAAAAAATTGCAGGTCAACTTAAAATTATCTCCATGTATAACTTATATTTAATAGTTGAGCTGGGATCCTTCTATATACATTTCTCCATAAATGCAGCTTTATCCATTAGCTACTGTTGCAGCTAATCAATTAGCTACTGTTGAAGTGACTGTAGCTACAGTCACTTCTTGAGGCTTACTGTTCTTGTTCAGTGAACCAAGAATCATCTATTGGACATTTGCAAAAATCTGTAGACTTCTCTGTGGTTGTATAGACCAGATTATGAATTTCACTGATCTATTGAAGGTTTCTGAGAAATTATTTTCATTAGCTTTAAGCCATCAACATTTCAAAACAAGGCAGAGTATCTCAAACAAAAATAAATAACTCAGGTTATTACTAGAGATAGATTTCTTTATTTGCACTTTGGTTGCATATTTCCTGGCCAATTCAACAGATTTTCAAGCAGGTCAGTATGGGATATTACAAAATATCAATAAAGAAAGTTTTCAGACTACATAGCAGCCAGTAAACATTTGCACAGTGGTGGAATGTGGTTCATCTTCAGACACCATTTTAAATTCTTCACTCTTAAAATTGAATATTAGGCAGTTAACACATAATGAGTGGCATTATTGTAGATTTAATGTGTGCAGAGAGTTGTGAAATGAGCAGAGAGAAAACAAATTTGAACATGATGAAATCTTACAAGAAGTAGTTGTTACTCAAAGCTGAATCCCTTTTTAAGAAAAGCTCGTCTGAGGTTCTTCTATTAGGCCGTCTCAGTTCACAATCTGAACTGGGAATTTGATGCAGAACAGATCTTTGTTGCCGTTATCTGTCAGTTCCCACTCCACAACGCATTTTATCTAGGAATCCAGAAGAGAGTCACGGTGACCAAAGTGCATCATGTCATCAGTCGGAAGAAATGGGGGAGGAAGGAGGGAGAACTTCATCCACCCCCATCAGACTAAAAATAAACTACAAAACATAATGTCTGAAGAGCTGAGAATCATACTTACTGAAGGATACTCAGTCTTTACTGGTAATGAAGCCTGGTAGTTGTAGGTCTCCCCAGTCTTGATGGGACACTGGATTCCAGACCTGCAGCCATCCGGCACAGGGATGGAAAACGGGATCGGGATTCCTCCAACAATACCGTGAACCACAGCGGTGCTCTTGTCACTATCCACATCTTCAGGAGGATGGATTAAAAACACACATTTAGGTTGAACTGTTGGGCAGGTGAAAGCATTTCAAAGAAAAGTTAAAAAAAAACAAACAAAAAAAAACAAAACATACTGCTAGTGAAGGTGACGTTGACAGTGTAGGAGTTTCCTTTGTGAAGCTGACATGGCTGATTAGGACAAGGGTTGATGTCCACACCAATCACTTTGCCTGAAGTGGAGCCTGGAAACAAACATGGAAAGAAAAAAAAAACACTGTCTTTGTCTGGTGATGAGAAATCAAATATCTTACAATATCAATAATCATTTGTTGCCAAGAACAGATATGGTGGGAGTGGCTCTACCCCAAATAGGTCAGAGTAATATGAAGTTGCTTCAACAATTAAGTGCATCTTTCAAAAGAATTAAGCCAAAAAAACAGGCTGCTTAGCTAAAATGATTTCAAATGCAAAGAGTCAGCAAAGGGGCATTAGGTTACAATTTGCCCAACAGATGACCAAAGGAAAAACTCTGCAACATTTGATCATATGTGGAGTGTAAGATTGCCCTTTGTGCATCTAGGCAACCCAAATACACAGTCTTTGCAATAGACAGTAAAACATGGTGGTTTAAGCAGATAAACTTGGTCTGTCCCAAAAGTGACAAATTCTTTAACATGTCTTCATGTTAATAATACAAACATCCAATACAAAAGAAAAGACACCAAGCACCAATAATACCCTTGTTCATACAAAGGGGTAATGCAACCATCATAATATAGAGATGCTAAATATTCAATGCTATGGTCTTACTTATCACATAACGGGGATCATGAAACTACTTGAATATGTCTATGTACTTTCAAGAAGTCATGTTGCCTTAAGCTGAAGAGAAAAGGTCTTAAACAAGTGTTCAAACAAGAAAATTACCCTAAAAGAAACTAAAACGGCAAGCATACATCATTTCAGTGATTCACAGGAAAGCTTAATTTTTAAGCATTTTTTGAAGAAAATACAATTAAACTCCAGCCAGCTACTGATAAGATCACTGGTCTATAGGCAGTGTAGGTGTAGAGAAATTTGGGAACTGTTCATCTATGCAAACCTTGTCATTTCCACAAAATAAAGTTAAAAATTGGATTCATTCAAAAATGAGTTGGTGATTTAATCAAAATGTCCTAGTTCAATCAGGTAAGGGGTTTCAGGATTAATTATTAACATTCAGGTTTCACAATGTTTTTAGACCCATTCCTGTTGGAACCTGGTTAAAAAAAAACCCTCAGCACCTACATTTAAGTCTCAATAAATTTAGAAGGCATTTCAATTTAAAATTGCATTTAAGCCGCTATATTTCCTCGTTCAAAGCGTTTTTACACGTTTTATTTTTTAATTCTTCCTCGTATTTAACCAGGAAGAATGACGAATCGACAGTAAGAGAAGGAAATGTCTAAAGTGAAGTGAAACTCACCGCAATCAATGTACTTGACCGGCTGCGCCCAGGTGAGTCCAATCAAGCAAAACAACGCAATTAAACCAGTTCGAACATCCATGTTTTTGACCCTGAAACAGAGAAACACCAATTATTAAAAACTGTTCAACCAACTTTTATTTCGCTAATTTAAAAAGATATGTGACGGAATTTCGTCGCACCAACTAAAAAAGTTCACAAAAAAGCGATACTTCTTAACTTCTTGGCAGTAAAGAAACACGAACAAGACGAGTCTTCTGTACGAGTTTGGTATCTACTGCAGTCATTAGTTTTAAACAACTCCAAATAAACACAATGTACCTTAAACAGACTCCCTCCACGTCCACAGTGAAACCCGAATCACGGGATTCTCGTCACGCCTTTGCCTTTTCTCTTGATTCTTCTTCTCTGCGCAAATTCAAAGCAGCTGCAGTCTGTCAATACTGCCATCTACCGGATTGACCACGGATCCAAAGCTCCTCAAATCCTTCCTCTGATGTTGACATTTTCTGAAGAATAATGAAACACATCTACAGTTGTCTGTCCAGCTTGTATATATGTCTGACAAAATTATGTTTAAGAATCCAAATAGTCGTAATTGCATGTGGAAAAACGAACATCGTTAAATAAGGAAGAAGAGTGATGTAAATAAATCTGCTGAGGAGAGGCTGATTTTAACCTAATGGATGGTGCCTTAAGATAGAATGGCTTCAAAGATTTATAAACATTTTAATCTTCCTTCTGAAGTTTTTTTTAGAGAGGTTGGTGGGTATTATTACAAATTATCTGTCAATTATTTAAATGTATTTTATCGCGTAATTGGTGAAAATGTATATATTTATAATTTGCTTTATTTTGAGTATAATCAATGTTCTATTTCAGTTGTTAAAGTTTTATAAAAAGAAAAAAGAAAAAAAGAAAAACACACGGCTACGTGTGTTACGTCCAAGGTGTATTTTATGGGCAGATTATTTAACCAATCACATAGCAGAACAACTGAAAAATGGGCGTGTTCATCAGACTGACAGATATTTCAACCAATTAACAGTCCGCTCTCTGCGTGTTGCTGCTACGTGAAATTTATGGACGTTATGGAAGATGTCTGTGTTTAAAGGAGCAATGATAACTGCGTCAAAGTCAAGAATAATAATCCTTGCGAGGTAATGTTAACTTTTACACATATAGTAAACATATTTATAACTCTCTCTTGGTAAACGAAATATCTTAAATTCATGTTTGAGAGCTTAAATGTGGCTGTCAGTTGGTATTTATCTTCGTTAGCCAGCTAGCCCCCAGCTCAACTGTTACGTTACACTACGCTTTATAGTTAGCTCAGGTGCTAGTAGCTTTAAGAAGAACTTTAGGAGGCTTCATATGAACATAATCTCCTTGTTTTTTAGGGCATCTACTCTCCTAAACAACCTCGGCGTTAGGCAGGAGCTTTACCGGCTTCCTGAAAGCTCCCAGCCGCTTTACATAGCGGGGCAGCGGTGCTTTAGCAACGCCTCCATCCGGAAGAAGTCTGGGGAGCCGAGTCCATCAGAAGATAAGGTTCACCTCACAGAGTCATGTGTGAAGGTACGAGTCTGAGGTTCTTCTGGGACAAAAAAGTACCTGAACATAATCCAGTGAATTCCAGTCTTAAATATTTTAAAGTATTTCAAGTGTAAATTGAAAAGATTACAGCCACTCTGTAAAAGTGCCATCAATTTTAATCGGAGAAAGAAGGAAACTGTGTGTAGACTTTTTTTTTAATCCACTGTAACTGATTAAAGTGCTTTGAAACCTAAATGTTAAAATAATTGTGTGTTATTCATAATCTCAAATACTCTGTTTCTGTTCAGAGGCTATCAGAAATCATGGAGAAGGGTGAGTACCTGAGAATACAAGTGGAGGGAGGTGGTTGCTCTGGATTCCAGTATAAGTTTTCTGTAGATCGCAACAAGAATGAAGAGGACAGGTAAACTTTCCCATGCAACTGGCTCTCAAAATAATCTTATGTAAGTGATGTTCTTATCATTTCTTCTAATCCACTCCTGGATTCCTTCTGCTCTACTTTCAGAGTTTTTGAGCAGGGGGGAGTGGGCATCATCGTTGACCAGGAGAGTCTGGAGTTTGTGAAGGGATCCACTGTGGATTTCAGTCAGGAGTTGATCCGCTCCACCTTCCAGGTCTTGAAGAACCCCCAGGCAGATCATGGCTGCTCCTGTGGCAGCTCGTTTTCTGTGAAAGTATGATTGATGCTTCAGCACTGTGTAATACTTTAGTTCAGTAGTTTATTAGGTGGATATCTAGAACAAAATGATCATGATAAACGAGGAGAGACTAAAGTGTCAGAAAGAAAACTTTAACTTGTGGGGGGGGGGGGGAATCAGCATTTTTTTTTCCAATGGTGACACTGTTTGTCAGACGGGAAGCTGTATCATCATTTACAACTCATTTCATTATGCAGTTCTGTTGCAAATATGCTACTTTGTGTCAGTCAAAGAGAGGGTCAGTGGGTAGTGATGATGGAATGTGTTAAATTTCCCTCAACAGATCTTACTGTTACATTACCACTGTGTCTCTCTACCAAAAGGCTACTAAAATTTTATCAGATTTTTATCGTAAAATGGTATCGCCTAGGAAAGCAACAGAGGCGCAAGGTCATTTTCAGGTGCAGACAGATTAACAGAAAGCTGTTTGTTTGTAATCTAAGGTGGATTATGCACTTTAGTTTCATTAGCTTTAATAGTTGATGCAAATACTACATGTTCACCTAATAATCTAGCAAGTAAAGGTATTATATTTAGCCAGAATCAGTTCACTTTAAGCAACTCTGAAGCTGAATGATTTGCCAACTTTGGTGTTTTTTTTCTTTGATTTTGTGAAAACGAGGTAAAGTTAATGAGATGTATTCTTTATTCAGTGTGCGTTTTGAAGACATGTACAAGCAACTGATGTTTTCCAACAGAACAAAACTCTTCAGTGTAAATGATGTAAATAAGTTATAACTATCAGTTTAATTTATGAAGTTTGAGCTGGAATAAATGAGTGTACCTATTAAATGCGATTGTATTGTCATAAATCTAAAAAGTTATATCAAGGTTTAAATTTAATGTCAGATGAATGACTTCAGGATAATTTTTAGGGGAGAAATTGTTTTGTAATACTCGCAGAAACCTTTAAAGTTTTGAGATGGTCTGCATAAAAAAAAAAATTTGCAAGACTAAAAAGTAGCTTTTAAAATGGGGGAAAAAAATAGTCCCTTGTTAGCAAAAAATAAAAATCCTAGAAAATTTTTTCATGATACAACCACAAACGTAAATGTATTTATTTGATAAACTAACATATTGTGGTGCAAAATTGCAAAGTGGGTGGAGAAGTCATCTTGAAAAAAATATGCTTGAAAAAAAATTTTAGTTTTTTTTTTTTTTTTTATTAAAGTGGAGTTTAAGAAACACTTCACAAAAATATACAAAAAGAATATTTACAAATGATATATATACAATGTTGAAATGTAAATCAAAATATGCAGCAACATTTGTTTAGTAGTTAGTATTTAAATACGAGGAAATAATTTTGCACTTTTTATATTCAACTCTGATAAACATTCCATTTCCACAATAAATGTTATTACACAAAACATTAGTTACTCTCCATAAAAGTCACACTGTTCATATTCATGAAAACGCAACAATAATATAGCAGCACACCAAATAAAGTGACAGCAAAAAACTGCAACAGTGCATCAAGAGGTCAATATACAGCAATTTGTTTTTTCTGTTTATTTTCTGAGGAATTTGGTTGGGACAGATTGTCTTCCTGTAAGCCATGCACACCCATAAACCACAAAACAGATCCTCTAACAAATATTACGTCATGAGGGGAACACTGCCGAGGGGAGGTCAGGTCAGAGGTCAACCAGTCAACAACACGACCACATAACTCATAAATGATCCACCAGGGCAACACAGTGACCAGGTCAGGTATACAGTGCATAGTATGCTTTGGCATGCTGACATCCAGAACATAACAGTGGATGTTACATTCAGGAGGAAGGCCACAAGATTTAGAATAACCAGTAAAAAAAAAATCCAACAAAACAAATGAGTTCATGATCCAAAAGATACAAAAACAAACCCCAAAAACCTCACAGACACTCAGATTAAGGCTAATTCATTAATGCTACATGTTTTAAAAAATGGCATTATCAGAAACACAACTTTATAGGCCTATCGAGTGTAGAGATGTACGCAGATAGCTCTTTTTTTTTTTCCAAAAATAATTCACCATTGAATGATATGCACACATTAGGTTCTTTTTTTATAGTTATTATGTGATATACAAGAGTCTGTATGCTCTCCACCTGTTATCATATTCACCACTGAAATGAAAATGAGTTCAGTACACATGCATGCACCAAGGTTTGAGGCAGTAAGTCGGATCACGACTTTAAACTCATCAAGCTGCCGCGTCTGTCCTCCACGTCTCTTTTTTTTTTTTTTCTTTCCATGATGGCGGATGCTGATGCTCCTCTGATGCAGGACGTGGTGGGATTCTCAGTGAGGGGCGTGAACACACCTCCACACAAAGAGGCTGCAAATTACAGAAGAGAAGTTAAGAATGAATGAAATGCAAATGTATCTCTATCATTTGAATCTTGACCACCACAAAGATCGATGTATTTTAATGGGGTTTTATGTGGAAAACCAACACAAAGTAGTGCTTAATTATGCAAATAGAAGGAAAAGGATTCATAATCTGAAAAGTGTGGCTGTGTATTCAGACTTCCTTTACTCTGATCTATCTAGCACAATGTAAGAAGCACTCAGATAAGGCTAAATTTAAACATTTCAACTTAAATGCAAAACAGTATGTGTAGAGGATTTGCATGGTGGTGGCAGCATCATCCTGTGGGGATGCTTTTCTTCTACAGGGAAGTCAGATGGCGCTAACTACAGGACAATTCGGGAAGAAAAACTTGAGAATGAGGTGGAGATTCATTTTCCAGCAAGACAGCAACCTCTAAAATACAGCTAGAGCTACAATGAAATGGTTTTGTTCAAGGAATATGCACGGGTTAGAATGGTCCAGTTAAAGTCCAGACCTTAATCCGGTCAATAAGTTGTGGAAAAACTTGAAAAGCTAATGCTTTCTATCCAATATGTCTGAGCCTGAGATATTTTGCAAAGAAAAAGGGTAAAAAACAATTACAGTCGAAAGAAGTGCAAAAGCTGTCAAAACAAATCCATAAAAACTTGGTTCTTCCAAATACTGACTCAGAAGAACAGAACACATAGGAAAGACACAGTTTTCAGAATTTTATTTGAAAGAAACGTGATATTTTTCATCCCAATTTACAATTATACTTTGTGTTGATGAATCCCATAAAATCCCTTGTCAAGCCTCACTTACCTCCTGTCGTCTCCGCCAGCACTGACGACGAAGCGATCTCCGTTTGTGAAGCGAACATTTGTCAGATGAGCAGAATGGCCTAGGAAGCGTTTGTGTTTGGCCTAAAAGAAAATTGTTTTTTTTCCTGTGTTAATACAGACTCAGTTAGCATATCACGGTCATCTATGAACTAACCCTGACATGAAGCTTAAAGCTGCTTTTTATGCTAAAAGGAATCACATTAACACTGGACCAAGCATGTCCTTATTCATAAAGTAGATACTAACAAGCATCACTCAAAACTAAAATAACAAAATGACAACCTATTGCTCTATATCAGCTGTGCATAGAGCATCTATTATAATTTTTGTTCACGAACAACCATAGATCACAACCACTAGGGGGCAATAAAGACCCCAAAGTTAATCTCTACTGTTCAAAATTATGCCCTCTTCATTATAAGATCAATGCAACAAAGTAAAGACAGAATAATATAAAACTATACTTACAAACTTCTCCGGAGAGGGAAAGTCAAACAGCTTTACCATCCCAAAATCATCTCCAGTCACAATGTTAAGGCCCGAATGGGACACGCAAGCGCAGGTCACATCCGCTTTGTCAGCATTACGGGACCAGATTCCTACCACTTCGTCTCCAAGGACACTGTAAAAACATGTTATTTTCTCACTCCAGCATTAACAAAGGAAATATATAGGCACAACCACAAACTTAAATTTAATTAATCCCACTAAAATAGGCTGAAATCTGTGTTTGTAAGCTGATAAAATGTTTCTTGCCTTGTCCAAGTGGCCCAGGTAATCCTGTCAATTTGAATTTGTTCTGTGATCTGCCTCCCAGATGGCACCTCGTACACGAGCCGCTTGTAAGCACCTGTGGATATCTGTGTAGCAGCAATGAGATTTAGAACTAAAATACACTTGTTACTATCTCTTCCGCTGCTGAGCTGCTTAAACAAAGTCCGTACCTGTATGTAGGAGCTGTCAGCAGATAAATCCATCTGCATGACGAAGCTGGGGATGTCCCTGCAGCAGTTGATGCGGTTCAGCTGTGGGCCGAGCGTCAGGTCATAAAAATCGACGGCGCACTCGGTGGAGCCGACAGCCAAGAAGCGAGAATTTGGGCTGAACCTGCAGCAAAAATGTGCTCTTAAGTCTTTAGTTTTAAATTACAGCAGTTTCACCGCACAGTCCACCATCATTACCTGATATCTTGTATAGGGGAGCGTCTGTCTCTTTTCTTGCCCCAGATTTTCAGCGAGGCAACCAGCAGGATGATGAATTCTCCGTTCTTCATGCCGATGGCCACCATGTCGCCCTCAGGACTGTAGCTGATGGTGTGCGCCGGATGGCCCAAGTTCACCTTATTCAGCATCTTCTGTTTTCCCACAAGGCAACGTGAAAACACAGACGGCTCAGCGATTTCCAGACTAACATCCATGGGAAAGTCAGAGAGACGAGCTGGGAGTCAGTCTGACCTTTTCTGGGATGTCCCACAGGCGAACGGTGCCGTCCTCAGCGGCAGAAAGAAAAACGTCTCGGGAAGGATGAGTGCCCAAACCCCATATTGGGCCGTCCATGTGTCCGTTCACCAGAATGTTACACGCTGCGTTTTTCTCTCCCACTTCTATGATCTCAGCGTTCCTGGTGCCCACCAGGATTTTACCCTGCAACAACAAGCAAAGATTACCAGAAAGCAGAGGGTGACATTAAAATAACTGGATTATCTTTATCCGTGGTACCTTTCCTCTGCAGACAGAACGAACGCAGTCTATGATCTGTCCGGTTTCTAGCCGAAAGGCTCTGCAGCGTTTCAGCTCCTGGTCCCAGAGCTTCAGAGCACCTCCTTCCTTTGATCTGGAGAACAATTGCTGAAACCATCAGCTGATCAATATACCAAGGGATACATTTTTAACTCACTGAAATATGCAGCCTTGGGGGAAAAAGACATTTTCAAACTTTCAACTCATTCATGGTAAAAACTAAGTGATTCAGCAGTTAACATAAATTACTAGAAGTAGTGGTCTTGTTTCTGTCTTTCATATTGCTTTGGATGAATTTTGCCATTTCATCCTTTCAAGGTCCCAACAAAATAATTCAGCCAAGCTGATGTCTGGAGTTTAACGGATCACCATCATGCTCTCAGTATTGTCTTTTTCAGCCATTTTGCTGTAGATTTGCTGATTTCTTTCGGATCCCAAGTTGAACCAAGTTTCCCTCTAGGTTACTTTGGCACACAGAGGAGATGCTCAACTCAGTGGATGTAATTTGCCTTGGTCCAAATCACAACTCCTCCAGCACCATGTTTAACAGATATTTACACTAGAAGCTAGACAGAAATACTTGGTGAAATGAAGTTACTGGAGTTTTTATTGTTTCTTTGAGTATTGCATAGTCTGATGTTGGGGTAAATTTTCTCAGATGTTCACTATTGGGAAGCCTGGCTGCTTCATTAAATGTTCTTCACTTCAAATTAATGATCTTTAAATACTGAAAATAATAAAAAAACGGTCCTACGATCCTTTCATGTTTGGATGGGGAGCAATTATTTTTTCCCGATAAGGCCGTTATGGTCATTTCTCCTTGTTGTGGGTCAGACTGTGAAGGAAACAATTTGTTTGCCCTCTTAAATATCTATGCAAGTAGCAAGAGAGTCCTTTTTTTATCCCATGACTGTGCTGAATGTGATGAAAGTAATCTTTTTACCACGACTTTCAGTGAACACAGAAGCACTTACGGTCTTTCTTTGCCTCCCGTGACGATGAGGCCGTCTCTCAGAGTGGTGTACATAGTGAACACGGGGCCCGTGTGAGCTTTGGCCACTATTCTTACCAAAATGTGTTCCTTCCACACACACACATCCCCACTTATGGTACCTGTAAATGTCAAGTTATTCTGAAAAGAAAACAAATCTGCACTAATCTAGTGGCCTAAGAGAGCAGAGCAAGCAATGCAAAACAGTTCACAGCATGATTAAGCAGAGCTTTACATATTTAAGAGACAAAAGGTTTACAGAGTTAGATAAAAAAACAACAACAAACAATTAGGCACAATCAGATGCTAAAGATGCTAATAGTTACTTACAGCTCCAAATGCTACAGACAGCATGGTTTGCATTCGGGCGTCCTCGATGGAGCTCAGGACGCCTTTCTTGCTGAGCAAAGCTCGACCCGCTAACGTCCAGAATCGGACATGTTTGATCCCCACCGACACAAAGTGTGTGTCCGAGTCGGGCCGAAACTCTGCCACAAAGATCCTCTGCGTGTGACCGACCCGACTGGCCACTTTGGCACCTGAGGTAACCAGAGGAGTGGAGCAGAAGAATTACGTCAAAGTTAGTCTTGATCTGATTTGTTCCTTATGTAGCCTTTTAATCAAAATGTTTTGACTGAAGCATTGCATTTTTGGAAAATTATTTCCTCTGGTTTTGGATGCTGTTGGTTTTCTTACTTTAGCTCAACTTCCAGAGGAGCAAAAGGGATTCAATGCATGGTAAAAGAGCTGAGAAAGAAGGAGGAATTCAAACTATTTTCATATACCCTACTCCAACATCTGTCTACCCCAGACAGAGGGCAGCAAAAGCAACTGAGGTGGATTAGCAGTGCTTTTCGATGACTGATGGTGTCATTTCGATGTACAGTCTCATCTCTGCTCCAGAGTAGCAGAGATACGAGTTACGACGACATTTAATTTACCTTTGGCATACATAAAGCATTTCTAAGCATCAATTAAATTGAATTGAAATCCAGAGTAAATATGAAAATCTGAGGAGATTCTCCTCCTGGATTACCTTCCTGCCACTTCCAGATGGTGACGGTGTGTTCAGGGTCGAGTCCCACAGACAGCAGGAGTCGCCCCGTGGCGCTGAAGCTGACCGAGCAGACGCTGCCGGAGTGGAAACAACGCAGCACCGACAGCGTCTGCTTGGTCATGGCGTCCCACACATGAATGGAAGGAGACGTGGCTTAGGAGAAGACATAAACAGATTAGATTAGATTATCTTTTACGTCTGTGACTTTAAATGACTTTTTTATTACTTAACACATACTACATGATTGTAGTTTCATTTGTGTATTGACTTCAAAAACTATTGATAGCAGTAATCTAACTTTCTAAAGTATTTTCTCCAGTCTTCAACACTTTCTTATGAATTTTGGAAATGTCTTACCTGACATGTCACCAGTATCACCTGTAAAATAGAAAATATGATTTATTTAAAATATTACACTTTTTTCTGAAAGTAGCTTTTGGAAATAAACTTTCTGAAATCTAAACGTTATTTCAGATTTGAGAAGTTTACAGCTTTTACATCTTTCCTGTCAGTTTTTTTTATGATATAAGGTGCTTTGCAAAAGTATACTACCCTTGAATATTTTCACAATTTGTCACTTTACAACCACAAACTGTGTTTTATCAAAATTTTTATGTAACAAATGAATGAAACAGCACATAACTATGACTGGAAGAAAAAGGGTACATAGTTATTTTTTTGCTGTGTTCCTTGGTTTTCATGATGCTGTTTGTTTACTAATAATCTTTATAAAACCTCTGAAGGTTTTCACAGAAATGCTGGATTTACACTGTTATTAAAAAACACAGAGATTGACTCCAAATAACTAATTAGGTGACTACTGAATGCATTCATTTGCACTAGATATTATTTAGGGCTGTCAGGGAAAAGGAGGTTGAAAAATTTTATTTGTAACATATTTTAAACCATTTATAATTTGTCATTCATTTCATAATTTGCAGACCTGCACACTTATTTAATAAAAATAATCTACTTCAATTGCTTATTTTAGTTGCTTTGACACTGCTGTGTAAATTTCTGTGTATTCTACTTTGCACATTTGTAACTCCGATTATCATAAATTGTTGAATTGTTTAATCAGGTATCAGCTGTGCAAATAATCTTCACATTTAATGCAAAATCACAAGAGGCCGACTTCTCACAAACATACCTACTTGTCCAGTTGCCACCACATTCGGGAACTTGGGGTGTTGATTGATTGTCAGGCACAAAATGTCATCACTGTGTTCAACATAGAAACTTTGGCAAGCTGTCAGAAAATACAGAAAAAAACGAAAAAAAAAATGTAATTGTGTCTGTCAGTTAGTTAATAATCATATTGTCTAACAAACTATTTACAGGTGGTCAGGTTGAGCACGATGCCGACTGAGGCCGTGTGGTAGATGATGTCCGCCCCCTCGTTCAGGTAGTGCACGTTGTTGCGGCAGTCATTGCCACGGTAACCGAACACCAGCTCCAGGACCAAGTCCTGTGGGAGAGAGGAAGTCAGTCAGAGAGTCAGAAAGGTTAACTCCATGACAACAGCGATGCCCAGAGCCAGATGACGGCACAAATGATTCAATTACAGCATCGTCACAGCTTCCCAAGGAGCGAGCTGCATCTGACACATTAGCTCTGCAGTAAGCTTCCCTCTGCTGACATACAGTTCATCATGTTGGCCATGTTTGGTGAGGATGAGGAGAAGTTTACCTCGATGGGTCTTTTCTTCTTGCCCACGTTGTTGGTCTGCAACTTCTCAGGCTGTGGCAGCGCTCTGCTGACAGGAGGCCTGAAACAGACAGCTGGGATGAGCGAAATCCTGCAGCTCATGATGGCAATAATGAGGATCATAATGATGGCCGTTACATTACACAATATGGGTGCAAAAAAAAAGTATTCCCTTCGCCTTCGGCAACATGTTTTAAGCTAACCAACAGTAATTTTGAGAAACAGTAAAAAAATATGATGCCCATCTTTAAAGACACTTTGAAAATAAAACATATATGAAGACCACAAGAGATGATTCAATGTTAACTAAAGTGGAGTCAAACAATATGATCTAACGTTTTATGAGAAAGTTGCACAGACATGCAGGGTGAAGCATTCAGCGGCAGAGGTGCTTAGACTAAACTAATAAGCAATAAAAAGAAGGTCTAAAAGTCTGATTAGCATTAAAGTTGATCGAAGTAAAAGAAAATGTAATTTTCAAATATTTATTTCAGTTTAACAAAGCTGAAACATAACACTTTTTGCTCCTCCACATTCTACTCACATTTTAGAAATCTACAAGAAAAAGATAATTACCTCGACCCTCTTCATGGCAGCAAAAAGAAGGAAGAAAACAAGAAAAAAATATTACCCACTGCATTTATCCAACACAGCCTCAGTATATTTCTGATTAATGTGGGCCAGAAGATGCTGCATGGAAAGCTGGCATCATCGAAGAGGAAATGTGAAAATCAATCAGAAACAGGCGGAAGACAAGGTTTCCGCAGAGCACGATAGATACTGTAAGATGACTAATGCGTGCAACACAGAAACAGGCATTCTTCAAAAAGACTTAAAGAATGACAGATTGAGATTTATAAATAGTTAATATGTCCTTTAA